ATGGATCGAAAGCCATTAATATAGAAAAGCTGAATTAAAAATTAGTTTATAAAATTAGATTGCGTAGACTGACTTAAGTTTAAAAAAGTTCAATTCGTCTAAGAAATAATGAGGGGTATAGAAGAACTCGAGCGAACAACGGTCGTTTTAGATGATCTTGAATTATTAGGAACCTTATCGCATATTGTACTGATGAACCATTACCCCAGTTACCCTGGTGTATGACATCGAACGTTCGGTTTTCGAACCCTCTCGAACGAAAGACATGAGTTCGATACAGTTCACGGTCTTCAAGCGGCCATTGAACCAAATCGAACAAATAAAAAGTATTCGAATTGAAAAAAAAAATTGAATGCTATATTTTCGAAAGAGTTCGATTGAGTTCGGCCATCAAACGGAGTAGAGCTCTTTACAGAAAAACACGAATGGAACAAAATCGTCCAGATCCAGCGTTGAAACAGCCAAGGCGATTTGAAGTTTTGTTTCTTTCATTACAGTCAAACCTGTATGTAACGGCCCTGTATTAAGCGGCCACCCTCTATTAAGCGGCCAGTTTTCAAAATCCGGATTTTTCGCTTGTACAAACGCTGTATTTGTTCCCTGTAGTCCTACGTTGTCGTTCTTTGTCATTTTACCTGTATTAAGCGGCCGTCAGCCTTCAACGGAAACTAAGCCATATATTCTTTTGTGCAACTTTTAATTAGCAAATTTTACGTCATAATTGCATATTGAACCTAACAACTATGAAATCACGGAATGAGATATTTTGTTCTGGACTTAAAGTCATAGAAATAAGGTATAACGAAGAAGAGTAGAGGACAATTTATTACACAGTATTTTTACACAATGTTACGTATATATAAGTCCAATTGTTTCCTTGTATGAAGTGTTTTTGTATGATACGCCATTAAAATTGACATTAGGCCACGCCCAGTGAGTATTTTTAGTGATTGTGTTCTGCCATAGCCTCCCACGCAGACGTTCTTAGGGGTTCGTCACGCGATCCTGCCCCACTGACGTCTGCTGATTTGAGCGGAAAAAAACGTAGACCAATCACAGCAGACTTCCAGATCTAGGAAGTGCACTTTGGACCTTGGGAAATTTTGCCCTTGAATTAGCTCCAGATAAGATCAGAAAGGTCTCATGAAAGGTGAAGACCTTACAGTTTTAGAACAAACTACTCAGTTAACTCACAACCGTTCTTACTAGAGGCTACCCTCACAATCTCATTGCCAGGTTAAATTTACTGAACGGAGTCGGCTTCACTACAAAACAATGGTTACGTTCTAATTCGCTTCGCTCAAACGAACGTAGCTCGAGTCGAAGTCGAAGCTGAATAAGCAAGTGACACAAATGAAGTCTAAGGGTAACCAAAAACAGTTCGAGCTTAATGCTCAGATCGACAGCGTTTTTGATAGAATTCGCTCGGCTAACGGTTCCGAAATTAAGCAAGTAGATGATTTGGCAGATGATAGAGGCTGATCAGAATCGCTGACAAGAGCGCTGATGGTTGAAAAGTGGTGGACGAATATCTTTCTGATGAGTTAGCGTCTGGCTCGGAGGACGAGAAACGCTTAAGGAAAGCTAAGGAGGCAGCAAACAGGAAAAGGAGACAGCAAAGGCAACGCCTTCGTGGACCAGACAAAAAGTTCAAAGGAACTTCGACTGATTGACTCTTGATCTTCGACTGACTGATTCTTGATTTTTTGCGCTCTCTCAGTTTGGTTTGATCATTTCTGGAGTACTTTGTTTCGTCTCTCGCTTGTCAGGGTTCGTACGCGATCTACCCATGTCTGTTTGTGCCTGGTTTTTACTGCTGTGTGTGAAGCTTCATTTTCTTGAAGTATTTAAAAATTACTTGTCTTGAAATATTTCTTAGCTTATTTAGGTTCTAGTGTAAAGACTACCAATAAAGTGTAAAAAAAACTGCCTTTTGTTCAGTTACAAGGTAACACCGCCTTTGCATCACCCAAAGAACAACTTTATGAGCAAATAACATCTAATCCAGCCTTTACAGAGAGAAATATACAAAAAGCCAACGCTTATCTCCTAGATTCTCGTCCGGAGCAAAAATCTTTGGTCACGTATCGCACTCTAACTAGCCTGTACGTATGTGTTTGGTTTGTGAACACTTTGACTTCAACAGCGCCGATTGGCGCCGATTATCTCCGACAACCTGCTTGTGATCTCCAACTGATATTTACGAACAATCGGAAAGGAGTTTATCTTTCAGTTCAGAAGACGTTAGTGGGGCAGGAACTGCCTCGTACCCAGACGTCTCTCTCTCGATGAAAATGTGCGCGCAAAGGAAGGCGAGAAGTAGACAACAGGCGAGACTACCATCTGTACCCTTCCCATCGTCCCTTGCGGTTCATCACCAGTCGCTCGCCATTACCTTGCGAAAAACGAAGCGCCTAAGGAGGAGACTGGGGGCAGGAACGCATGATGAAACTTACAGTACTAGTGTGAATATTAAATCGAGTCGCAATTAGCCTCCCGCGCAGACTTTCTTAGGGGTCTGCCACACATTTCACTGACATATTTAGCAATCAAATGATAATCAGGCAATTCAGTGCAAGAAATTGTGTTCTACAGGGTCGTTTCTTTTTTACAAATTGTTGAGAATACCTCAAAAAAATGAGAAAAGATTTTGTTTGACGAGTTTGTTTTTGTCCTCCACATCAAGACTAAAACATGACTGCTCTGATCCAACTGTTTCAAAACCGCAAGAGATAGCCTACCGTCTCCTGCGTTGCGTAGCTTTTTGTCTTTTGTCCAGTATACGCTGGCATTTTATATGATTGTCAGCCTAATCAGTTTTTCAAGTAGCATTGAAAACAAGGATACTTGATGGTTACACAAAATACGGATCCTTTTTGCTCGCCATTTCTGAAAAGAAAATAGGCCGTAATCTGGAACTTTTAAGCTTTCAGAAAATGGTGCTGAAGGAGGGATGATACCTTAACGTTTGCATTTAATTGTCTTAATTTCTCTTCTCACGTCTTTCTTTTAACAGAATTGAAGCAGAAGGTTGTTTTGCATACGATTTATTTCAGAGTCCTTTGACGATTTAAAAGCCGCTCTTCCCTGTGTTGTCCTTCCAACGTTCAATTTAATCAGGATATTGAAAAGAAGGTAATTAAAAGTTGTCAGTTTTTTATTTGAACCTGCCTGTGCATTTCAAGATTCGTGTGTAGGAACAGGTAGCCCACACACACCCCTGGTCCGCAAAGTAAGTGCACGTCAAAAGCACTGCATTTAAGTGCCAGGAATAAACGTCTGTCTGCCAAGAAAACATGATAAATCCATAAATCAAGGAAAACGTAATGAAGACAATAGATACAATTTCAGATTCAGAATTATTTACGCCTCCTTGATTCAAAGCAAGGGGGAATTCACATCATCATAACTTTAGGAACTTTTAAATATTACAGACACTCCTTATACTGTCGTTAGCGTATCAAACGTTTGTCAATCATTGTTGAACATTTTGGAAGATGAAAGAGCTCATGTTTCTTACATTCTTTTGTGTTCTGAACTGCGATGTTCGATCCTTAATCCCCACGATCGACCATCTCCGGCGTGAAATTTCCTTACTTAATTAATTAAAGGCCATGCAAAAGGACAATCTTTAACCAATATGTTTTAGCCTGTGTACAGACCTCCCTTCCCTCAAGAAAAATCGACGGGAGGGGGGTCTGTACACAGGCTAATATTTTGGAGTTCTAGAAAACTTGAAAACCCAACCTCGTTCCCAGGTTTTCTTGAACGAGGCTGTTGAAAACCCTGAAACTTTATTCATTTCTCAGGACAACTCATACCTCGCCCGAATAATAACCATCCAATGGCATTGCAGCCGTTTAGCGACGAACAGTTAAATTTCTTCAAGTTTGCGTCCTTAGTGTTAAATGAATTCCCCAAAGCCTTACGGCAGACCTTCAAAACCATGTGGGACATCACCCATGGACATTACCCTAGTTTCCAGCTTTGGGATGATTCAACTACTGTAAGAAATATGTTTGCCGCTACGGAGGGTGGCAAGACCAAGGTTCCTGTTCTCCACTCTTACAACGAATGGGATTGTACCAACCTGTTCCAGGCTACAATATTTGCGCGGACTTTTGCCTCAGTAGCCAGTACAGGCTCCTACACAACACTCAGTGATTTGTACGTGAAACCTCGTCCAGTATCTTATGGTAGTTTCCACGCATGTGTGGTCAGCCCAGGTGGAATAATGGAAGAGACATTTGCGCTTGCAATTGATCAGCTTCGTCTTCTTAGAAATTCGCTCTGTCACTCCACCAGTAGTGAGATGGACAAAGCGACGTTTGACCAGCGCGTGAATTACGCCAAAGTTGCGTTTCAAGCCCTTGGTGTGCCGACAGCTCCAATTGACGCGCTTGGAAGTTTAACGGAGTCGGACTTTCCCACAAACGAAATTCGTCAACTGGAAAGGCGAATAAAAGAAGAGAGTCGGGAATACATCAAGTTCCTTGAGGAAATGAGCTCAGATGTTATCGAGATTAAGGCGATGCAAAATGTGATTATGCAAAAAGTTGACAATATTGTTACCAAAGAAGATATCGCTATGTTGGATCAGAAGATCGCCAAGTTGCAAGATGAAAACGATGCCAAATCCAAGACCACAGGTAGGTTAACTACTCTTTAATGGACGACCAGGGGAATGTGATTTTATTTGTCATGGTTTATAAACCGACCGAAATACAATAGCGTGCTAGAAAAATCGTCTCCAATTATGATACCACACGTATCGCGAGTTGCGCAAGATCAAAGTGAAGAAGACAGGTATATGTTAACTTCTTTCTACGTCACGCGGTAGGCATAAACAAAAGAAAGAGTTGTGAGTTAGTGATACGAGGAGCGGTTTGGTAAAGGACTGCGAATTTTATTTTGCTTTCATGTCACTTTTAAAGATACGAAAACAGATTTTTAATGTTACAGGTGTGAGACCATCGCTATCCATACCTTCCCTTCCTGATTTGGTTCCTAATTTTATTGGACGTCAAAGCGAGTGTGCAGAGATTATGGGTCACGTGACTTCTGAATCTACCCGGCTCGTGTCGATCTGGGGTTCACCTGGATTTGGAAAAACATCGGTTGCGATTGCAGTGGGACACGATCTCCAGTCTAAAGGAATGCCGGTCTGTTGGCTTTCATTACGTGAACTGAAGTCAAAAACAGATCTCGTTTCAAAGCTTCTAAGCTTTTTTAAGCCATCTGTCAGAAATGACCATCCATCCTTTTCCTATCCATCCCTTGATGATCAGCTTTATCAACTTTTAAGCGAAATTTCCGATCGATCTATTTTTATTCTTGATAATGCTGATAATTTATTAGAAGCAGGAGCCGATCGGCTCCTGTTAGAAGATGGTGAGCGCAAAAGCATGAAAGAAGAGGACGTCATACAACTTTTGAAAGAAATTCTCAGGCGAAGTAAGGCGACCATATTTGCTTTAACGACGAGAGAATCGCTAGATTTTCTCAATATAGATTTGCAAGGTCACCAGAGTGTAAGGATCAGACCATTGGATGAAGAATCTGCAAAGACATTAGTAGAGGCCCTTCTTCCAGCAGCAAGTTCTTCAGACTGTACACGAATCCTCCAAATCTGTGGACTTGTACCCCTTGCAATAAAGTTAATGTGTTCGTCAATTTCTGAAGATAAGGCTGAACCAAGTCAATATCTCGATGAATTCATGCAGTTCGCCTCCACAGCGAGTATCGCCGAGATGTTAGACAGGCCAGATTACCCAGACGAGTACAGATTACAGTCTCTTTTTGAGTTATCTTTTAAGAGGCTAACTGCACAAGAGAAAGAAGCACTAGTGTCATTGAGTATTCTTCGAGAGAATTTTAGTACTGAGGTTGCTGCAGCTGTTTTCGATGAAAATAATTTTCAGACCAAGAAGTTATTGCACAGCCTTCGGAGAAAGTCGCTTCTTGATTCAGGTTTGCAGCAAGAGTTCTTCACGATGCACAAGCTGATTCAAACATTTGCAAGAGAAAAGGGACAAAATGAAATGAAAGACACGGTCCTTAAATCAAAGCAGCGCTTGAACAGGTTTTACGTGTCACGATTTAAGAAGCTGAATCAGCAATATCTCACTGGTCATTCAATGGAGGCGTTTCGTACTTTCTGTAAAGATGAGCAAAGCATTATTCAAAGTTTGCGGGAGTCTCTCTCTGATCCCATTACAGCCCCCCCAGTTTTTGAGGTCTTAGCAAAGGGAGAGTTATTTCTTGATAATCTCTTTTACCTAGAGGGATCAAACACCTTTGACGAAATTTACGATTTGGCAATTGAGGCTGCGAGGAAGTTTGAGGCAAACGAGTCTTACAGTCGGCTACTGGTTTCAAAGGCGTTTGCAGAAGCATGTTGGGGCGCAAAGGGAAGTACGGTGCAGTTGCTTTGTAGAGCAAAGGAAGCTGAAGTTTCGGCACTGCCTTCAGTTTCCATGTCAGAACTACATGGTAAACATCTGTGTTACTTAGGAATTCAAAACCTTACTAGCGGTAAAACGGAAGATGGAGTTCACCTTTTACGAGAGGCTATTCAGTTGATGCATGGAAGCCCAAATTTGACAGTTCTTAGGCTGGTTGCTCTCCAAATTCTTAGTCATTTTTCCCAAATTCAAAGCAAAGTGGTCGACTTGAATCAGTTACTGTACAATGCCGAAAAGGAATGCCAGATAGTAGAAGACGCAGATCTACTTTTGAAGTCCTCACGGAAAAGCAAAGAGAGAAAAACCAAAGTAGGAGAAAAGCAAACAAACTCCAGCATTCTTTCTAACCACCCACTAACGTGGCAAGTACTTGACCTTGTTACCAAAGCAACAGAGAACTTCATGGATTCCGATACTGAGCATCATCTTACAAATATTTTGCATAAAATGCTGAAAGACATCGAAATAGAAGAGCACGTTTCAATAGGTCTCTTTCGTTTTTATCGCAATGTCATAGCCCTATTACCCACAAGCGAAGACAAGAAAGTGCGCCTTGAAAAAAGAATCGATTACCATCAAGCAGCTCTAAGCCGATGTAGTGAAAACTCCTCCCCTTATCACCTGCAAAGCAAAGCTCTTGCAGAGTGTTACATGGATCTTGGAATGATTCTCTTCCGTTCTGCCTTAAGGGCAGAACAGAAAGGGCCGGGCTTATCAAGCTCACTTGACGGAGAAGAACACCCAAGCCCTGCGAGTGGTAATCATAGCTTTGGCACCACTCAAAAATCCCTCGGAGTCTTCAAAGCAGCACTAGATTCTTATCATCACGCACTTAACATCCGCCTTAACCTGTTTGGAGAAAACCACGCAGACACTGCTAATACCTATCATAAACTTAGCACAACCCAACATTTCCTTGGAGACTTCAGCACAGCACTAGATTCTGAACAGCATGCACTTGACATCCGCCTTAAACTTTTTGGACAAGAACACGGAGACACTGCTGATAGCTATCATAACCTCGGAGCCACTCAAAATTCACTTGGAGATTTCCATTCAGCATTAGATTCTAAACAGCATGAACTTGATATCTGCTTAAAACTGTTTGGAGAGGAGCATGCACGTATTGCTGGTATTTATCATACACTTGGCGTCACTCAATATTCACTTCGAGACTTCAGCGCAGCAATAGATTCTGAACAGCATGCACTTGACATCCGCCTAAAACTTTTTGGAGAAGATCACGCAAGCACTGCTGATAGTTATTATGGACTTGGCGTCATTCAGCAATCGCTTGGAGACTTCACTGCAGCACTAGATTCCCACCAGCACGCACTTGACATCCGCCGAACACTGTTTGGAGAAGAAAACCCAGACACACTTGATAGTTATCATAGCCTTGGCCACATTCAACGTTCACTTGGAGACGTCAATTCAGCATTAGATTCTAAACAGCATGAACTTAACATCTGCTTAAAACTGTTTGGAGAAGAACATGAACGTACTGCTGGTATTTATCATACACTTTGTGTCACGCAATATTTACTTGGAGACTTCACCGCAGCGCTGGATTCTGAACAGCATGCACTTGACATCCACCTTAAACTGTTTGGAGAAGATCACGCAAGCACTGCTGATAGTTATAATGGACTCGGCGTCATTCAACATACCCTTGAAGACTTCACTGCAGCACTAGATTCTAAACAGCACGCACTGGACATCCGCCGTAAACTGTTTGGAGAAGAACATGCAAGCAGTGCTGATAGTTATCATAACATTGGAACCACTCAACATTCACTTGGAGACGTACAGGCGGCACTAGTTTCTAAACAGCATGCACTTGACATTCGCCTAAAACTGTTTGGGGAAGAACATGCAAGCACTGCTGATAGTTATTATGGACTTGGCGTTATTCAGCAATCGCTTGGAGACTTCACTGCGGCACTAGATTCTGTACAGCACGCACTAGACATACGCCTTAAACTGTTTGGAGAAGATAACCCAGACATACTTGATAGTTATCATAGCCTTTTCAACATTCAACATTCACTTGGAGAAATCAATTCAGGATTAAATTCTAAACAGCACGAACTTAACATCTGCTTAAAACTGTTTGGAGAAGAACATGCACGTACTGCTAGTATTTATCATACACTTGGTGTCACGCAATATTTACTTGGAGACTTCACCGCAGCGCTGGATTCTGAACAGCATGCACTTGACATCCACCTTAAACTGTTTGGAGAAGATCACGCAATCACTGCTGATAGTTACAATGGACTCGGCGTCATTCAACATACCCTTGGAGACTTCACTGCAGCACTAGATTCTAAACAGCACGCACTGGACATCCGCCGTAAACTGTTTGGAGAAGAACACGCAAGCACTGCTGATAGTTATCATACCCTTGGTGCAACTCAAAATTCACTTGGAGACTCCAATGCAGCATCAGATTCTAAACAGCATGCACTTGACATTCGCCTAAAACTGTTTGGAGAAGAACACGCAAGCACTGCAGATAGCTACCATGGACTAGGCGTTATTCAACATTCGCTTGGGGACTTCACTGCAGCACTAGATTCTCAACAGCACGCACTTGACATACGCCTGAAACTGTTTGGAGAATACCACGCAGAAACTGCCAATAGTTATCATAAACTTGGCGCAACTCAACATTCACTTGGAGACAACAATGCAGCACTAGATTCTCACCAGCACGCACTTGACATCCGCCTTAAACTGTTTGGAGAAGAAAACCTAGACACTCTTGATAGTTATCATAGCCTTGGCCACATTCAACGTTCGCTTGGAGACGTCAATTCAGCATTAGATTCTGAACAGCATGCACTTGACATCTGCCCAAAACTGTTTGAAGAGGAACATGCATGTACTGCTTGTATTTATCATAGCCTGGCCATCACTCAATATTTACTTCAAGACTTCAGCGCAGCACTAGATTCTGAACAGCATGCTCTTGACATCCGCCTAAAACTGTTTGGAGAAGATCACCCAAACACCGCTGATAGTTATTATAGACTCGGCGTCATTCAACATTCGCTTGGAGACTTCACTGCAGCATCAGAATCTAAACAGCAAGCACTTGAAGTACGCCTGAAACTGTTTGGAGAAGAACACTCATGCACTGCAGATAGTTACCATGGACTAGGCATCATTCAACATTCGCTTGGGGACTTCACTGCAGCACTAGATTCTGAACAGCATGCACTTGACATCCGCCTAAAGCTGTTTGGAGAAGAACACGCAGACACTGTTGACAGTTATCATAACCTTAGCGCTTTTCAACATTCACTTGGAGACTTAAGTGCAGCACTAAATTCTGGACAGCATGCACTAGACATTCACCAAAAAATTTTTGAAGACGAGAACGCATGTACTGCTGATAGTTATTATAAACTTGGCGCCATCCAACATTTACTTGGAGACTTCAAGGCAGCATTAGATTCTGAACAGCACGCACTTGACATCCGCCGTAAACTGTTTGGAGAAGAACACGCAAGCACTGCTGATAGTTATCATAACCTTGGCATCACTCAACATTCACTTGGAGACTTCAGCGCAGCGCTAGATTCTGAACAGCATGCTCTTGACATCCGCCTTAAACTGTTTGGAGAAAAGCACGCATGCACTGCAGATAGTTACCATGGAATAGGCATCATTCAACTTTCACTTGGAGACTTCAGCGCAGCGCTAGATTCTGAACAGCATGCTCTTGACATCCGCCTTAAACTGTTTGGAATAGAGCACGCATGCACTGCTGATAGTTATCATCGACTTGGCGTCATTCAACATTCAATGAGAGACTTCACTGCTGCCCTATCTTCTAATCAGCATGCACTTGACAGCCGTCTTAAACTGTTTGGGGAAAAACACGCAAGCACCGCTAAGAGTTATAATAATCTTGGCACCACTCAACAGTCACTTGGAGACTTCCACGCGGCCCTAGTTTCTAATCAACATGCACTTGACATCAACCTCAAACTGTTTGGGGAAGAACAGGCAAGCACCGCTGTTAGTTATAATAATCTTGGTGAAACTCAACATTCACTTGGAGACTTCAACGCAGCACTAGATTCAAAACAGCATGCACTTCACATCCACCTTAAACTGTTTGGAGAAGAACACGCAAGCACTGCTGATTGTTATAATAACCTTGGTGCAACTCAACATTCACTTGAAGACTTCCACGCAGCCCTATGTTCTCATCAGCATGCACTTCACATCCGTCTTAAACTGTTTGGAGAAAACCACGCAAGCACCGCTAAGAGCTATCATAACCTTGGCACCACTCAACATTCACTTCAAGACTTTCACGCAGCCCTATGTTCTTATCAGCATGCACTTGATATCCACCTTCAACTGTTTGGAGAAGAACACGCAAGCACTGCTAATAGTTATTGTCATCTTAGTGCAACTCAACGTTCACTCCGAGACTTCAGCGCAGCACTAGATTCTGAACAGCATGCACTTGACATCCACCTTAAACTGTTTGGAGGAGAACACCAAAGCACAGCAAATAGTTATAATAACCTTGGTGAACTTCAGCTTTTACTTAAAGACTTCCACGCAGCCCTATATTCCTCTCAGCATGCACTTGACATGCGCCTAAAACTGTTTGGAGAAGATCACGCAAGCACTGCTAATAGTTATTATGGACTTGGCTTCATTCAACATTCGCTTGGAGACTTCACTGCAGCACTAGATTCTCAACAGCACGCACTTGATATACGCCTTAAACTGTTTGGAGAAAACCACTCAGACACAGCTAATAGTTATCATTTACTTGCCGTTACTCAACATTCACTTGGAGACAACAATGCAGCACTAGATTCTCATCAGCGCGCACTTGACATAAGCCTTAAACTGTTTGGAGAAAACCACGCAGACACAGCTAATAGTTATCATTTACTTGGCGCCACTCAACATTCACTTGGAGACAACAATGCAGCACTAGATTCTCACCAGCATGCACTTGACATCCGCCGTACACTGTTTGGAGAAGAAAACCCAGACACACTTGATAGTTATCATAGGCTGGGCCACATTCAACGTTCACTTGGAGACGTCAATTCAGCATTAGATTCTAAACAGAGTGAACTTGAAATCTGCTTAAAACTGTTTGGAGAAGAACATGCACGTACTGCTGGTATTTATCATACACTTGGCGTCACTCAATATTTACTTCAAGACTTCAGCGCAGCACTAGATTCTGAACAGCATGCTCTTGACATCCACCTTAAACTATTTGGAGAAGAACACACAAGCACTGCTGATAGTTATCATAACCTTGGCACCATTCAACTTTCGCTTGGAGACTTCAGCGCAGCGCTGGATTCTGAACAGCATGCTCTTGACATCCGCCTAAACCTTTTTGGAGAAGAACACGCAAGTACCGCTGATAGTTATGATAACCTTGGTGCCACTCAACATTCCCTTGGAAACTTCAGAGCAGCGCTCAGTTGTCAACAGCATGCACTTGAGATCAACCGTAAACTATTTGGAGAAAAAAACACAAGAACTGCTAATAGTTATCGAAACCTTGGCGTCACTCAACATTCCCTTGGAGACTTCAACGCAGCACTAGATTCTGAACAGCATACACTTGACATCCGCCTTAAACTTTTTGGAGAAGAACACGCAAGCACTGCTGATAGTTATTATAGACTTGGCGTCATTCAACATTTGCTTAGAAACTTCGACGCAGCACTAGATTCTACACAACATTCACTTGACATCCGCCGTAAACTGTTTGGAGAAGAACACGCAAGCACTGCAGATAGTTATTATGGACTTGGCGTCATTCATCATTCGCTTGGAGACTTCAACGCAGCTCTAGATTCTGCACAGCACGCACTTGACATTCGCCGTAAACTGTTTGGAGAAGAACACGCAAGCACTGCAGATAGTTATTATGGACTTGGCGTCATTCACCATTCGCTTGGAGACCTCACCGCAGCACTAGATTCTAAACAGCACGCACTTGACATCCGCCGTAAACTGTTTGGAGAAGATCACGCAAGCACTGCTGATAGCTTTTATGAACTTGGCGTCATTCAACATTCTCTTGGAGACTTTACTGCAGCACTAGAATCTAAACAGCGCGCACTTAACATTCGACGTGAACTGTTTGGGGAAGAACACGCAACCACTGCTGATTTTTATCACAGCCTTGGCGACACTCAACATTCACTTGGAGACCCCAATGCAGCATCAGAATCTGAACAACACGCACTTGACATACGCTTAAATCTGTTTGGAAAAGAATACCCATGCACTGCAGATGCACTGGAGTTGGACTAGGGATCATTCAACATTCTCTTGGAGACTTCACTGCAGCACTAGATTCTGAACAGCATGCTCTTTACATCCGCCTTAAACTGTTTGGAGAAGAAGACGCAAGCACTGCTGATAGTTATCATAACATTGGAACCACTCAACATTCACCTGGAGACGTACAGGCGGCACTAGTTTCTAAACAGCGTTCACTTGACATCCGCCTTAAACTGTTTGGAGAAGAACACGCAAGCACTGCTGATAGTTATCATAACATTGGAACCACTCAACATTCACTTAGAGACTTACGGGCGGCACTAGTTTCTAAACAGCATGCACTTGACTTCCGCCTGAAACTGTTTGGGGAAAAACACACAAGCACTGCTGATAGTTATAGTAACCTTGGAACAACTCAAAATTCACTTGGAGACTTCCACGCAGTCCTAGGCTCTTATCAGCACGTATTTGAGATCCGCTTTCAACTTTTTGGGGAAGAGCACTCAAGCACTGCTCTTATTATTATTTTTTTATGTCTTTTTTTTGTCATGTCTTTTATTATTATTATTATTATTATTATTATTATTATTTTTATTTTCAAGATTTCTTTATTTTCCTTGCATCCTTCTTATCAAATTTCTTTGGTTTGACATAAGATAATTATATCAAGAAACGTAAGACCGGAAGATTTTAAGCAAGCTCCATTGAGCTTTTTTGTAAAAATCTACTGTACTTGTACATAGTTGTGTATTACGGTAAAAGGGGTCTAGATAAGGATGTAATATGTAGAAGTTTAATTTATCACATTACATTAACGACAATCGAAGGTCTAATTAACACTGAACTAACAAACTAAAAATGTAAATCATTCTGGATACATACTTTTAATGATAGACTAATGATGTCTTAATATGGAAGATTTTAAGACGGAATCCACCAGGAAATGGAGTATTTTTAATTTTAAGTGGACAAAAACCTTGTAACAGAATAATTTAAAGCGTATTGCATTCTCTTTTACATTTTTCAAGGGTTAGTCTAATTAGTCTTCTGTAATAACACCAAAGAAAATTTCTTATGAGAGCCCGAGAAAATAAAAGTCAAATTTCACAAAATTGCATCTTACACATGAAATTTTGAGAATTTTTCCTGTGTTTTCACAATTTTTGTGATATTTGACATTCGTTTTCTGATAGAGCAAAGATGAGAAACCACAGGCAGGCACTAAACAGTAAAAGACCACTTGACCTCCCAGTAAAAGAAAAGCAACAAGAAAACATTTGCTCAGGCGCACCACGAATCCTCCAAAACAGACTTTTCTACTTGCACAGGACGAAAACAAATGAATTAGCACAAATTTGGACGGAGGAGTAAATATGGGGCAAAGATGGTAAATGCCAAATTTGCATACTAAAAAGTGGTGTAAATAACTAGGGAAATTTGACATTTTCGTAGGCATTTAGATTTACTTCTCAGTTTTTACAAATTTGCGACATATTTGCACACTGAAAATTAAAAAGATCTGTTTCAGCCCCAAAGTGTCAATTCGGCCCTGCAGGCGAGAGTCTGATTCAGCCCTTCCTGGAGCCATTTGAGCACAATTTAGGCCAAAAAAGCTCAATCAAAAGGCTATTCCAGCCCACGGTAGGGCCCATTTCAGCCCTGGGACCAAATCAGCCGTAGCTAATTGGACTGTATTGGCCTCGATTTAAGGGAGCCAAATTAGACTCAAAAATAGGACTGTATTTTCCTCACCGAAACGGCCCTATTTTTACGGCTAAAACAGATCTTTCTCATTTAGAGTGCATGATGGAGCAAATTTGTGCAAATTCATTTTTTCGTCCAGTGTTAAGGACAAAATGAAGGAGTAAGCGACATATTAGCAAGGAGTAAATGCCTTGTAGGCATACCAAATCCTTTTTAGTCTCGCTTGTGTAATTAAGCAGCGAGACTAATAATCTGCAACGCGTTTTCGCATTTTTGTTCGTATTTTATTCACAAATAGGGGGTCATTGTGCCAGGAGTTCCTAGTGGAGACCGTGGAAACCGGGACCAAGAATCTTTGCGTGATCTAAGACACACATGTTTAGGAAAGATTAAATCTAGAGCTTTTCCGAAACGTGTCGGTCCACGAATTCTATCGCTTCAAAGCGTTGATTACTTTGGAACAAGTGAACACTACTAACAGAAAAAAGAATCTTAATTAGCAAAACTGCCATGGTCCGGTGCTATAAACTTTCATTGTGTACAAATGGGTCTTGTGATGAGAATGCTGTTTATTTTCGGCGATGATTGAAATGACGTGCCATGTAAATCACTATTCTCAGCGGTCTCACCTCTCACGTATAAAAGGAGAAGAGAAGGAATAAATAATGCCATTCTATCGATCTTGCGAAGCGTTGTAGTATAAATACAGCACCTGATATTCCTTTCTCTGGCGTTCTCTCTTTCGCCAGCCATCACGTTTCGTCCTGTATGTATTTTCTCCCTACCCAAACCCTCCCTTTTCTCTTCAGAGCATTCATCAACAGGACGAGACTGTCGGTGCCCAATCTCAACACAGCGTGAGAGAGAGAACGCTGAGAATAAAGTACTTTTTTTATCTCTGGCAATGATGTAATTTCTCTGGAATCGAGGCCCTTGAATTTTCGTGTATTTATACACGCGTATGGCCTCACGGCTGCTGCCGCAGACGTATTTCCGGTCGTCGCTCGCTAACACACGTGCTAAATCAATTCAGAAACAAGTAAAAAGTATCGATGTCGATAAACTAGGAAGTAAAAAACCTTTAGCGAGTAAATCCTGTTTCGTGTAGAATTAATCGCCTCCTAATTTCTCTATCTAATCTCCAAGCAAGCGAGATGGGAAGCCGCGGTAAGCGCGCTCTGGTTTAAACTTTTACACGAAGGCTCGCTGGAAAGCGTGACGCTTGTCAACTCTTTCACAGTTTTTTCAAGTTTGTTACACAATAAATGAATAAGAATTGAAAAATATGATTACGGCACTTTGCTTTAAATCGTTCAGTCAAAAAAGTGGACTTCTGTGGCCTGTGGGCGGGGGTTGGGGGGTGCGACAGCACCCGTCGCAACCGTTAGGTCTTTAGGAGTCGAATTTTTCAGAGTTCGTGGCAACAGCTTATTGATCGAACAGAGGTATTAGATTCAGTTACTAAAGCAAAAGAAAGCAGTTTATTGGTGGGCTTCCGCTAGCTTTCATTGGCGATTTCGGTCTTTTTAGTTAGGTTTACTGATTTGTACTATTGTCAATCTTTTTTGGCGCTTAGAGTCTCGGGGCTTGGAATTTTTAGAAGTAAAGCCTGGAGCTCGGTACCAGGGTCTCGTTAGGTCTCGAATTTACCATTCTCTACCCCTACAACTTGTCCTCATCTCATCTGTCAAGGTTTTCCCCTTTTCATTTTTGACAAAGTATTGATTTTTTTCTTTTAAGACCCAGCTTTAAAACCTAAGCTTGCTGTTAATAGTTCTTAATAGAATTCCTCGATCATCTCGTGGTTTCTGCCATGACGATAAGAAGGTGACAAAACCTATCTAATAGCTCTGGAAGTCAGATATATTGCTTGACCAATCGGTGCAGGGCTCCGAAGGATCTTTTGTCTTTCGAGTAATCAGACAAAAGTCCAGATTATGAACTACGGGCTGACGACGCCTAAAGTAAAGCGCCCTTTTCCTCTCGTCTCCCAAACAAAAAGCGAGGAAGCACGGCCTTATCGCAGGCTAAATTTACAAGTAAACTTTGAATTACTTCGTGAACGGTTCGATGCGTCTCCAACTCTATTCCTCCTAGCTCGTTTTCCAGCGATGTTTATACTTGCAGGTTGACCACACAGGGGCGGATCCAGGATTTTTTTAGGAGGGGGTGCACTCGTCTCTTGCTCTACTTCAACACCAATAAACCACATATATATATTTTTTGCAGAATACCAGTTGTATCAGAAAACCGCAGGTCATTTCAGGGGGGGTGCGCACCCCCTGCACCCTCCCCCTAGATCCGCCCCTGCCACATATGTTCTATGGTTTTACATCATGAACTCGTCAATTGTGCAGCCAATCGGCTTAGCTTGCTTACAATACTTCTTTCCTTCAAGAAGTGCTCGTTTAACAGTATTGATCATTTTAGTTTGACAAATAAAACTCATTATCATCAACGCTTAAAACATTAGCATGAGATGACACATTTTGAGGTCACTTTCCAGTTAGCTTGAAGTTATTTACCGGCTTGATACACTCCTTGTGAGCTTGGGGAGTGGAGGAGCAATTGCTCATAGTTTCGTCATGTTAACAAAAAGCTTCAAGAGTTCATGAAATTCTGTCTCCAAGTCAGCCATAACGCTGATTTTGGGCGGTTTGTGATCGTTTGTGGTTCCACATAAAGTTGGATAGAGATTTGCTCACTTGATAAACAAAACCAGTGGGAATACAGAAGAAATTAAAATTATTTTTTGAAATTAAGAGCTAAACGCTTGATAATGCTTATATTTCCAAAGAGCGTTAAATCTCTAGATGACCAGATGTTAAGACACTTTTCCAGAGAGACTAAATTTTTCTCAAGTTATCCTTTGCGAAAGCCTCCGAATCAGTTGAAAAAGAAACGCCTAGACAAACGCACCTCGTGAGCCAGTTTATGTTGAACTGAAAGATTTGTCGGTTGTGATCCAGTTTTTCCCAACCACAATGTCTCCGTTTTATGTCTATTCAGTTCTAATCCGCAAAATCCTTTAAAAGCCTCTAACTTCTCGAAGAGCTTTTCAACTGACTTTTCGTCACGCGCAAAGCATGCATCCACGTATTGAGATAACTTATACTCCCTACCTGTGAAATTTATACCCGTTTTCCATTAGTCGTTTCTTATTGAATTTGCTAAAATTTCAACAGCAATTAAGTGTATTAATACCAGAAAGAGGACAGCCTTGCCTTACACCGCGTTCTAATTCGAAGAACGACGATAACAGGGGTATAAAACTTTCACAAGTGTAGCTATCGGACCTATTGTTTAAGACAGACCTATTAACACAAAAGCTACACTTGTAAAAGTTTTATTAAATTGACCTGAGGATTATCTAGCGTTTTTGTCCCCCCTCTATAATGTCTGCTATTAAACGTATGTTTTGACCAATAAAGCGGCCTTTGATGTATCCTGTCTGATCCTCGTGTATAAGGCTGGGTAGCACTTTCGCAATTCTCGCCGCGACTGTCTTGGTGGCAATTTTATAGTCTATGTTCAGCAGCGAGATAGGCCTCCAGTTATCCAAAAGAGCCCTGTTTTTGTCTGTGCATTTATTAAATATCTGTTGCTTGACCTTTTCCTCTTAACTAGGTAATACACTTTTAATTTTTTCTCTGAACTTTCCCATCAAGTCCGTAGGTAATTTATGGAAAAGTTTAGCCAATCATTTTCGATTAGGAAGCTTGACTTCCTCCATAAGCTGCATAACAGGCGCTTTATAAGCCATGCAGCATTTTGCACGAAGCGCGAGACGAGAAAAATATTTTTTTTCTTCTCCCCTCGTCTCGCGCTTCGCGCTAAATGCCGCGTTCGCCTCGCTTGGCTTATAAAGCGCCTGTTACGCAGGCTACGTCCTCTCTTGATCGACTAGTTGACATAGTTTTCAATTGCAATTTTAGTGATTTTCTTTTGCAAAAATTTTCCGTTAAAGAAAATGATTAATAATTTTTATAATGCCCTCCTTGTTTTATATGGACTGGACAAGTCAAGCTTTACGGCGAAATTAAAGAAAGAAAATCGCTTGGAAGAGTCAGAGTTTAATGCTATTGAGTCCGTTCTGGTCAATCGCAGGACGTACGTAAGCAATGATTTTCTCTAAGCAGGTGGGTTTTCTAGTCAATATAAAAGGAGGTGCCAAGTAGTTGATCGGAAGAATTGTGGGCTAGTAAAAAGTAAAAATCGAAACAAATAAAAGCGTTCAAAGAAGACAAAGCCTCATCCTTTTGTTGAAGAACTTGCTAGTTCCCCCTAAAAAGTCGTTCAACACAGGTTAGCCAATCAGAACGCAGGTTAGCCAATACTGATCATTTCCGCTCGCAGAGCGAGTCTTGCAATAAATAGGCCTCATAAGAACACGAGGAGATACCGAAAGGAGCTATCCTTGTTATACAGGGATTAGCGGCAGCATATAGCGGTCGTTACCGTCTTTTTAAGGTCAAAAACTGTTCCCTTTTTTCAAAAAGTTCAAACATCTATACATATCATCAGAGTAGTGTTCCCTCTTAAGGAATAACCATTTAGAAAACTTAAGAAATTTTTAGCCCACAGGAGGTGTCATGTGACCTTCAGGACACGTGAAGACTGTGCGAATCGCGGCTTACGAGGACGCCTCCCGCCTTTTTTATTGACAAGACGATGCGCAATCGGAATGTTCTGCAATGGTCGGCTTTGTCGAGCGTAGTTTTGAGGTAAATTCATGTGAATGTAAGTCACAGGGGGTGGGGGGGGGGGGGGAGGTGGGGGATGGTCATAATTTTTAAGTGACCAGGAGGGGGTGGGTTGAGTTAACTTGCCTTTGTTGACGGGTTGCGTTATATTACTCTATGTAAGGCCCATTTTTCAACCCCCACCTCCTCATAATTATTGCAGAGTCTCTAACTTTAGATTTGACTTTTACGCTTTCTTTGTTTCACTGTTAAGTACTAGTTCATTGTTTTTCTTTCTTCTTGTTTCTAAAGTACCTCATTTTAGTTCTTTAAGCATGTCTGAGAAAGTGCCGAGCTGTTCAGTTGTAATTCTAGAGTCAACGCGTGCTGGACTCTTTTTGACTTATTTTTTCTTCTAATTCTGAATCCGGGACTGACTATTTCAAGTGCACATTGATAAAGGATAGCTAAGCGTCGCGTCTTCGCGAGCACTTTAAAAAGTGAATTTTATCACCGTCAATTTATAGAAATGGCAGACAGTTGGATTAATTATAAAATATACAACGTTAAGTAATAATGACTCAACAATAAGCCTTCTTGTTTTGAGAATTTCTCTCTTTCGTGGTCGTTGTAAGATCGTGAGAAGTATGGAGAAAACGCGGAGCGGGAGAAGCGAGTGGGCACCAGAAGCGCAAGGCGCTCGATTAAACACCTTCCCCTTCTCTTTCCATCGCCTCCCACGAGGGCTGAAGGTTTAAGAGAGTTTCAACCAAACACAACGTCCAGGGCAGGTTCAAATCCTTGGTTTGTATGGTCCGGGAGCATAGAGAAGTTTTCTTGCTTCTGGTCTTCGTCTTGACTTTCGGGTTCTCCACACAAAAACAACGACAATCACCACAACAGCTGTTAAACACACAGCTAACGCTACAGCGGCGGAAGGAGGGAAGTCATCTGTGGCGGAGTCCTGGTCATCGTCACTGATCAGTCCACTCATAACAGTGTTACTGTTTGTTTTGGTGAATAAGTATGGGTTTTCCTGAAAACATTAAGTTACAAAGTAATAGTCAGCCCCAGACTCGTACCCAGTCGCCACTTATTTATTCTCGCAAAGGAATATGGAAAGGCAATTTGACGCGCACAAAGGCGTTATTCTTCCGTCCTTCCCTTGATGCACCGCGAACGCACTAAGTCCTACCCATAAATCACAGCGCATACAGAGAAGCGACTGGGTACGAGTCTGACTCAGCCCTATGCCAAGGACAGGGTCAAGTGTCCGCATTACAGAGATGTCCGCACTTTTTACTTAACATAAACAGTGGAAGTGCCAGCTTTTATAAAAAGGCGTTTACCTGCTCTAGTGGAGCGGTTAACGGCTACATTAAAAAAAAATCATCAGAATGACAACAGTTACTCTCACTTTTAACTGATAAACTACATTGCGACAAGACCATTTGTTTTGGACATGAATTAAGTCAATTGAAAAATCTGGTACACTTTGATACAAACCTTTGTGGGACACTCAAGTTTTTCTTGATCTCCCCAGCCTTTTGTTTTAGAACCAAACGGCTCCAACTACAAACAATGGATAAATGATGTTACATGTTATGAACATGCTTCAGTAGGAAGCTCAACACCACAGCCTATAAGTAAACTCACTTCTTCACTTAACGATTTTAATTTTTACTTAGAATGAATGGGCTCTGAGTCAATAGCTATTGACTCAGAGGCCATGAGGGCGAGAGGAATAATTGTTTTAGTAAAATCCGACTAGTTGGTCACAAATATCGAGAATAAAAAACTTCTAGCTGGTTAAAGCTAGACTTTAATCCTTTTTCGCCGCCAAAAAGCCCGCGCTTTTCGCTACTAGGGGGCTATAACATATAGCCTAGTTGTAGCTCAACCAATCAGAACGCAGCAATGATAATAGACCACGAGTTGGATTTTACTAATACAGAATAGCTACTCCCTTGTTAATGGGAAGCTATAACATCATGAATGACGCCAAAATTTCAGTGAAGCGTACATGGCAGACGTCGAAGCGGATCGGGGAGGAAAGGGAAAAGAGAGGGGGATTGGGGAGAGACGAGCTTTTTTCTCCCCTCCCCCTCCCCCGACCCTTATTTTTGTGACAACGACCCAGGCTATGGATGCGAGGCCGCTTAATAAAAGAAAGCAGAGAACCAGAAATGGATGGACAGGAAAACACAGGCGTTGTTTTAAGATAATACCATACCATGTTTCTCCACAAGGCTAGAGCTGCTGCTGGATGGCCCTGTGCTGAAAAGTGCAGACAGTCCAAGCCGAAAAATTCCTCAACTAACTTTGCATCCTACAAGAAGAATAGGTAAAGGTGATGATTTAATACTTCTGCTTTACCTACAATAGATGATAACGAGCCCTGGTTGGTGGGAAGCTTTATAAATGCCCTTTTAAAGAAGAAACTATGACTTCAATTCTTTCTTCAAGCGGGCTTTAATTGGGAGGTGGGGCGCTAAGGAAAAGGTATTTAAAGTTCCGCGCTGGTGCAATAAAGTTGAACTATTTAGCGTTTTTCACATGACGTCACGGCGGCCATATTGGTGTTTCAAAACAACGAAACAGTGGCCATGTTGGTGTACCAAGAAAATCCGGTGGGAGTTGAACTCCTTTCTTACGTAAAGTTTTCTTTTTTCCAAGATATTTTCATAGATGCTGGCTACGAGAGTGAAAATGCTCTATAAATTCCGTCTTAATCCATGAACAGCCGAGGATCCTTAGGAAAAACAAAGCCAACAGGGCAGCCTTCGTCTCTTTTTTCAAGATCATGCTCAAGAAGCTCCGCTTACTACCAGAAATATCAATAAACTACAAGAGCGACATCTGGGAAAATGGAATAAGTTATTTTCTGACAACGAGACGTTGTCTATGAACATTCAGATAACGGAAAACTAATTAAATAGCAAAAGAGCAGCTTCCGGTACCTTAGTTTTCGGAGGCAGTTGAAGAGCAGGTTGAATAACCACCGCAAAGTCGTTCTGTGTGTCATAAAGACCACTGCTTACAAGTTCCCTCAAAAGGCGCTAAAAACGGTAAAAAAAAAATAAACGTTTAGTCACAAAGACACCTCCTACAAGAACATCAACGACGTTAACCCACTATAAAAAACGAGATCTCAGGGTTTTTCAAAGTTTTATTCTGTATCAGATGTCCCTTCCTTATTAGAGCTACAAGACAAGTTACCTTGTAATTTTTCACTGCTTGGGAAATTTTGGCTCTTTCCTCGCCACCTTTCTTCAAGCAGTGGCACGAATTCCTGAAAGAAATAGAACACAACAACAATTACATGGAGTGTTACTTTATAACAAAAAAGGTAAGGGGAGGTTTAGACTACTGCCACGGATTATAACTCATAGAAAATACTACTTTTAATAATTAACTGAACAACTAATAGTTTCAGAAAATCACAGTTCACAAGAAGTGTACCAGACTGATTGCACAACTCTTGGAAACACTGCATACCTGTAACCTAGCCTCAAATCCGATATATCACATGCTGATGGTTTTCACTACAGTAGCTGAAATTTCTGACAATTGCTACAAAGTCAGAGACTAGTTTATAAAATCAAAGTAGTTCAAATCACTGAAACGAGCCAAAAACGTTTACCCCAGATAATGGAACCGGCAACAAGATAATGGTAAAAATTATGCAACTTTGGCAGCTGAAATGGTCATATTATCACCCCATGCCAAAGCAGTGTTACTAAGCATTCTGTATTTCACTCACCAGCCCATGATTTCACAGGACTTGGAAGATCCACCATGTAACTCATAAAGTAGAGACACGTCCATGGGCGGGACCAAGTTGACAAACAGACGGGGTACCTGTTCAGTCAAACAAAGCAACTGGGTATACTCCTACATCACACTGATAAAGGCCTCATTGATGCTATTACTGGTAGCTAATTGAGTGTTGTGACTCAAATGAGTGTCGTGACTCTAACCAGTGTTGTCAATCTAATGAGTGTGGTGACGTTAACTTTTGTTGTGACTCTGAAGAGTAATGTGACTCTGAAATTACTTAAAATGAATCAGTATGATTTATTTTTTCTACGAAAATGAAAGACTTAAGAGAAAATAAAAGTTAAATATTTTAACATACCTCCTCTTTCAGGTAATTAAGAGTGCGCATCACATATTTTATGAAAGACCTTGGGCCAAGTTTATCCTGAAAACATAAAAATTAAAACTTTGTGACTTTTGATAGACTAAGAGTAGTCCCCATTTTTCCTCAAAGATAGTAGAGTGAGCGAAACATGAGCACGCTTGAGAATCACCCCACGAGAAACAGGAGAAAGGCGACATGCGGCGAGACCAGCGGGCTTTCTCCTATTTTTCAGGTGGGGTGATTTTCACGCGCGCTTGCGTTTCACTCGCTCTACTATCCCTGAGGAAAAATGGGGACTACTCATAGTCTAGACTTTTGATTCATAACACAAATTATTTTCTGGTAACTGCATAGTTTTTAAAATGTGGCCCACAATTAAGGACAGAAACAAAAAAAATTATTAAAACAAGCGTAACAAGTTAGAGTATCAACTGGCTGAGAGCAAACCAGTTAGAAATTACAAGCTTGACTGAGGAGCTGGACGTGGGACTGCCAAAAACAAACTCAGCTGACAGGCTTGAACCCGGGGAGTCCCTATTGCAAGTCCAGCACTTTAACCACTTGGCTGTGCCGCCTCCTTATTTGAATAAGCACATAATACGTGAAATTCAAGACCAATCATTCCACCACCTTTGATAAACAGGTGTTTAATCATGATTCCTTGAATTTATATGACTAGCACTTTAACCAGAATGGTTATATGCTTCTGCTTTAACTGAATGAACATAGAAGTCAAAAAATTGATGAGCCTCCAAAACAAGACACAGATTAATATTTAATTTGATCACATAATTCAACGCAATCATACCGTGTCTGTACAAACTTGACAGAGATCCTCTGTTCCAATCCACATGGTGAGAAGTTTCCAGTCATTTTCATAATCAATGTTCTATTTAAGAATTAGCAGAACAAGGAAAACCCGTTAATTAAATGCACTGTTAAAAAAACCCAAGGACACTCATAAATCTGACATATAATACATGTACCTTCATGTTTTTCAATCTTGAAACCAAGTCTTTTGCTTGATTCTCAAGGTCTCTAATAAAAGTATCAAAGAATAAGACTACACATACAAGTTGCAATAAAATTTATTACTACATTATTCTACATAATGCAAATGTTTATTTTGTTTATTTATGCTGACCTTGCTGAGGCTCCAACAAAGGCAACATTCAGATCATCATTATAAGGGATGTTGTCCATTGACGGACTTGTTACTGATGCACCTTTCAGTAAAGGATTAAACTGTCTGATGATATCTGTAAGTGTATAGAATGAACAATAATAGTAATTATTACTATTGCTAGCATTTCAATATAATTTCTGCTTTGAATCATCCTTGGTAACCCAGGGACAGTCAGTCCGCAAAAGTATGTGTACAGTATGTGTACATACATTGCACAGTGCATTGTTACAAATAACATACAGTCAACTCTCTCCAAGACGGACACCTTTGGGACCGGCACTAAGTGTCCGTCTTAGAGAGATGTCCGTCTTATAAAGAGTCAAATAAAGGGAATAAGCAAAGGCAGGGACCAACTCTAGATGTCCATTTTACGGACGTGTCCGTCTTATAGAGGTGTCCGTTAAAAGAAAGTCAACTGTATACTATATTGAGTGCTAGGGGTCATATCATGAAAAACCAATGAAAACCAACTCCAACAGTGTGGTCCAGAATCAATGCGTCCCAGTTAAAAAACCAATGAATTTATTAGTAATCAATTGTGTCAAATAAAAACGCTTTTGTTTTGCTAATTCAGAAATTGCTTCAAAATTTTTTGATGATATTGCTCTCTTGGGGTCAGGTAAGTTTTATTACAGATTTAAAGTCACAAACACAACTAGTTCAAAAACATCCTGCATATACTGGAAAAGTGCCATTGATTTAAGGTAAATTAATCCAAAATGAACCAGAAAAAGTAAAATAAATTAAACCATGGACAAAACTGAACCATAAAACATGGGTAAATACATACATGTTCATACGAAAGGCCGATTTAGACAGTACAATTTTTGCTTTCGACTATCGTGCGCGCGACTAGCATGCATCATGACTTCACAACAGATCGTGTCATGTAAATTAGACCCACGACATTCGTATGACACATTGTGGATGTCGTAAGTGAAAACTGTGCACGTGTGGATGGTCGAAAGTCATGACATGTTAGTTGCATACAACACTTGTAGTACGGTCTAAATCAGCCTAAATAAATGGTACTCACTTGGTAAAGTTGTGGATTGGTTCAAATATCCTTCCCCTCCAATGCTTCAAATTAAAAAAAAATAAGGGAAAACTTACTGATCACACAACTTGAAGCCGGTGAGCATGTAATAATAAATTATAATTATTATAATTTAGTCAACTGTCTGTCTTAAAAGAGGACAATAAATTTTCCAGCAATCTGGTTGATTAAAACACATAAAATGGTGATACCCAATCAAACACAAGCTAAAATTAATACTTGACTGTGGTGTTGTTGGTTAAAACCCTATTAATGACTTGTTTGCAATATCAAACCTAAACACTGGCTCATGATGAACACTGTCTAGAAATAAAATATTGCACTTTTCACTCAATTGTTCACTGAGCCATAAGATGAATTAAGTTTTTGAGAAAATACACAGTCATTGGGTGAAAGCATCCACATTATTTAGAAATCAAAAGCAACAATAAGGTAGTAATATATGATAAACTCTTACCTCCATGAGATTCCTTTAAAATCAGTAAAAAACCCATTAAGCGACAAGGCTTGTGCACCAAGACCAACCTTGGAAAAAAAAATAATCATAAATAATTTCATCAAAATACTCATCAAGAATGAATATTTTGAATGCAAAAGGCAGTGGTACAACTTCTAAAACCAACATGTACTTGACACAAGCAGCTTGACTTACAAAAGATAATTTTTTTCAGTTATTCATTGGTAAATAAACATACAACAGTAAGTTAAACATGTTACTTACTGTAAATGCATCACCCATTGCTGCAATAACTTTGATATCTGATACTTGTAATTGGTGAACTGAAAAAAATATTTAAATACATATTAATAATAATAAGTTAGACAAAGTAGTTAATTGTCTCATGCAAAAGACAGGCGAAAGTTACACATGTAGGTTAACCTGAGGGCCCTATGGTTACTCTTAAAGAAGGGCAAACTGTCATGTACTGTTCATTTTATAGTGTATATCACTAATACGAACGACAAAAAATAGTTATTAAGGGATACAAAATAAAGTGCAATCAACCTGAGCTTGGGCTTTGTTTGAACCTCCTAGGCAATGGGCTACAGTATTCTGTTGTTCCAGTGGGCTATATTATGAACAAAACAGAGTGATAATTCTCATATCACTGGTATATATGTTTCCCTTACAAGGTTATCAGAGTCACTGGGAAAACATCTCTGTGTACATGTGCTGTGAATTAATGACATGGTCTTATGCACATTTGGCTCAAAGAGTGATGATGATGATGATGATGATGATGATGATGATGAACCCACAACAGAGCTACTGGCATTTACTACTCTACAGTAATGTACTTACGTGTATTGCTAGTGAAAAATAGAGCTATGGAAGTTGCTGTTAAAAGCAGGTTTATTCAGTCACCAGAGACAAATTCAAGTGCTTGCTAAAAAACAGAGGTACAGCTGTAACCCTCAGTGACTAATCATTGCTAGATTCTCCTTTCATATTTGCCTTGTATATGCTCATGAATTAAAGAGAGAATTTGTCACTGGATCAGGACTCATACAGGGCCTTCTTTCACTCACCCCTTAACTAAGATGTACATGTATGTACCTGTACGTAGAGGTTTACACTGTACTTGTGGTTTAGGTAAAACACATTTTGACTACTTGCCAGGATTTCACCAGTATTCCACCTATAGTAAGTTTATTTCAAAATTTCTACTTCTAACTGTCCTCATAGTACAGAGGACGAAGGAAATTCTGGTTTAACCTGAGAAAAGATTTATCTACAACACTATCAGTTGCACTGCTGTTCCTACTGTGGTAGAGGCTGCTGTACATGTACCTATATCAAGATACTCCCCTTTTATGATAAAATGATTTTATACTCCACTGAAAATACTTTTACCTGAAGGAGTTGCTGCTGTTTTGTCCATCCACTTATCCCTGATTTATCCTTCATGTACAAGACATAAGATTTAAGTTCCTTCAAGTTTTCTGGCGTTTTCAAAGCTTTTGCAGCTTCCACATTTTCCACTAGAGGTAAATAAAAACATTTAAGGTTAGCATCACATTTTAATTTCAGATAAAAAGTTGATTATTAGACAAGTTTTGAAGTTTAGGACTGGTAACATATAAGCATCTCAGAGAGTTAACAATCATGTTTTGCTTCTAATTTTGAAATAATCAAGACTGAGGTTTAACTTTGAAGGTTAAATAGTAGAAAATCACTATTAATGCAAACCATACTGTACAAGTTGACTGAAAAATCATTTCTAACAACAATATTATCATTACCCTAAAACAGGGTGCGCTAAATCCTATATCTGCATGATTGTCTGGTACAGGCAGAAATTCAGTTTGGAAATGTAAACCTTTGACGTGAATTGTCCGTGGAACAAGCACATTTTTAATTAGAAAAAATAAAGAAACAGTTCAAATTAAAGTAGAATTAAAATTCATCTTAAAAAGTCATAAAAGCAAACCTCATACTTGACAAAATAAGGTTAAATATTCCTTTTAACTCTGCCATTCCACAGTTATTTGATTTGTTCTTATGAGCTCTGTTTTAGGTTTAAGTCAAAAACAATTTACAAGGGTAATAATGTGATTAAAAACATTAAATGAAAGATTGTTTTTGAGTTTCGAGTTTCCAGCTAAACTTTTTGGACAAGAACTCTTGGGTTTCGGACAACCAAGTTTAATACAGTGCTTGTCTGAAGGAAGAGTGGATAGTAAAATTTTTCTCTTACTCTGCCATTGACTTCCTCACCTAACAAATCAATTGAAGCTGATACATCACCATAAATACATGAATACGTCCCAAGTGTATCAAGGGTGATATTTGAGAATGAAATAGCAGTCTTTGACATATCGTTGGACCAATAACGTACGCTTTTCACAGGCTCAGCCTTGGGAGCAGTCTTGTACCATTTAACAATTCCATCTCTTTTATCCCAGTGTTCTCCACCTTGTGGTAGAGGAGGTGTGATGTCACAAATCAATCGAAGAATGCTTCCGCTGTGTTCCTTGTCCATGACCACTTCTGAAGTGTGGACATTTTCAAGTCTTGGATTCTCCCATAAATATCCAACTTCGACAGAAGATGCATTTATGGCCAGTGATGATAAACCAGTAACAAATGCTGCAAAAATAACTACATCTGTTTGTTTGGTTTTATTTTTTTCCTCAGCTGATAATGCGAGCGTGCATTGATTTAATTTATTAACAAGACTTAGCAAGCCTTAGTATCAGTAAGAAAAATTTACCGTTAGGTTCAACAAATTTCGCACAATACAAACATTAGCTGCTACGTGTGGCATGCTAAACGCTTTTATTATAGTAACAAATAAATTAATATGGACAACCCTCAAAGACTTCAGCTAAAACTTATTTTATTTCCGTTTTCTTTTCTTTTTTGTTTTTCTTTTCTTGCAAAGCGGTGGTGAGAAATTCTGCCAGGAACATGTCTCCAACAAAGGATATTTTCTATGTTTACATGTTTCCAGTTAAACAAAGAATACGCTTTTCAACGGAGATTATTCTCAAACAAGTTACTATGCAAATCATCAGTATTTTTCTCCAAAAGTAGCTCTTTAAGTACAGCAAATCACCATTAACCGCATCGAAACTGTAAAACCTAGTTACTTACCTTGAAGAAAGAGAAAAACGCAAAAAAGAGTTAGTTTCCAAGCAGCAACAACAGTCGCCATTATTTTGAGCATTTGCTTTCCTGCGCCCGAGATCGCCGATTTGAACTTGAACAGCGTACATTTGGGTAGTTCCAGTCCTTCTCAGTCAAGCGTGATACTCGAGCAGAAAAAAAGTAGTCTGAGTATCAGGAGACAAAAAAGAAGATTTAAAACGTAATTTAATAAAGATACAACAACATCGTCACAATACGTACACTATACAGACTTATTTTAACTACTTAGGATTAAGTTAATTTCCTGTTAGACAGATCCTCAAGGTACAGTTTCGCGTTCAGCATGAATTCAAAGTCAAGCCAGAGAATTTGAAGGAAAAATAAATTATCTCGGTAAATTGTTTCGGAATTGTTATACGTTGAGACTAGAAATTTAAATTTTAGTTAAGGCAATTAAAATAGTATTAATCTGCAAACATGCTGTCCTATTTACAACAATGTTTTAACACTGACTTACTGGCCTGTGGTTCAATAAGTCATCAGCAATGTCCATTATCATCTTTAATGAGGCAGTTCTATTGTATTCAAAATTTCATTTCAATATGAACGGTCACGCCCTCCGATATAATCCTGGGCTGACATTACTTCGATAAAACAAACGCGGCGGATCTGTTCAGCGTGCGGCGTTAAAACAGCTTTTCAAATTGTTCAAGTCACGAGCTAGAGTCAGGACGCGTATGTCAAAATAGTGATTTAAAAAATGTTATCGTTTTTAATCATTTCATTGCTAGTCTCTCTTGTCGGAGGCCGTCTAAACTCAGAGTTTGCCAGGAGCGGATCAATTAAAGTATCAAAGACCAAAGAGCTGGAAAATGGTATGTATTTCAGTGTATTTTAAAAACGTCAATGCATGGGTCTTTCTTTTAATCCTTACTTTTTCAATTTCAAGTATACTTGTGGCTCTTGTTCCATGAAATTTCTTAATTGAATAAAGGGAATTGCTGGAATGAGACAAATCGGTTTCGACTACAGGGAACGGTTCATCTCACGGGTCAGCGTGTAGAGGAAAAAATATGGGATTTTTGGACTAAACGATAAGGATCTAAAGTAACAGAAATATATGCAAAAGAACTCACTCAGTTTTAAAATTTTTTTCCGTTTTTGTTAAGATCAAAATAACCGGCAGTTCAATTACGGCGAATCTTTTCCTGAGGAAGGTTCAGCCATTTGTGGATTGGTGAGTGAGACGCGTCATTATGGACAAGGTAAGAAAAATCTCTTATTTCAAAATTTCTAACCTTATTTTTTATAGAACTTCCCGTAGGTGGTATTAATTTTTTTTCGCTTGTGCAACAGGGTGGGAAAAACCAGCGTTCCTTTTTCAGTTTACAAGTTGCATAACAATAAAGTGAAAAAGAACAAGTACCTATTGCCATATGCTAGCTAAATTAAAAGTTCCAGGCAAGGCTATTGACCAAGAGAATGTGATAAAATTGAAATAAAAACAGGTGGTAGAATTTGTTTGCCCTACAGTGTATTTGACGTTGTGGCTTTACCTTAGTTCTTTCAGCCATATTGTCGATATTTATAGCCGGCTGCGCGAGACGGTAAGATAAAGCGAGTCCTACTTTCTGATTGGCTACCCGATTTGGTAAGATGTGCCTATGTTAGTGGACTATATTCTTGTTAATTGCTTGCGTTTCTAAAATCTCGGTTTGTGAAAAGCCAAGTGGCTCACTATGCACCCTTCCAGTTGGTATTTTTATTTTTCATGAAAATAAGAGGAGGGAACAATGACAGATTGTTTGATCGCTCACGCGTTCTTACTTAAGCAAAAATACGCCCCTAAGTCTAAACCCAAGATAGCGTCGTTGGCTGGTGATTTTTGTAAGGCCTGAAGCTCGTAGAAATTTACAGTCGGATTCAATATGGATTGATGATGATTTAATATTCTTTTCAGGAGTAAACTTGCAAGTTGAACAAAGGCGGGTCAATTTCTGTCGGATGACTCATGTTTCGTCATTGACAAGAGCCCATGAGCAACATAATGGAGTGGTAAGAATGGTCGGGGAAACTGCCCACCTACCCTTCCCCTAAGCCAACATTTTGCCCTAAGTGAGAAGTAAATGTAAATGTTGGCTTAGGGGAGGGGTAGGTGAGCAGCTTTCTAGAAACACATTATGATCTTTATGAAGGATAAAATATTACGGGATAATGACAAAATAAATGAAAATCCAATGTCTCTAATTATTTCAGCCTTGTTCCGCCCCTCAGATGTGTGTGGCAAACCAAAGTTCATTTGAGGAAGTATTTTTGCTAGATGGCCTCAGAGGGTCCACAAGCGCTGTTAGCTGTCGGTGCATCGATCCTCGCCGCTCTTGTTACAGGGTGCCCAACATCCAGGTGCTCAACTGGGGGACTACTTATGAGAGAGCTGTTGATGTGGGTCTGTGCGTTGGCTCATGCAGCAAAGGTATAAAAGGGTATCCTGAGAAAAAAGCCGACATTTCGGGACGCCACCACTGGTTTCGCCGCGAAATGACGTCTGAGAAAATTCCATGCTGATGACGTTCACAATCAAGATCTGGGTAGTCCTTCTGATTGGTTGAAGCAAATTTCCCTCGACACCTGGCTCTTGAGACGTCATCTGTATGGAATTCCTGCAGTCGTTGCTCAGACGTCATTTCGCGGGGAAACCAGCGTTAGCGTCGCGTTAGCGTGGCTATTTTCTCAGGTTAATAAAAGTGATATCCGAATAAAAAGGGATGCCATTAAATAAGAACGAAACGTGCCTTTTTAGAAAAATGTATCTAAAGGGTTTATGTGGTAGCACATCAACAAAATGTTTCCTCGTCTATCATTTTTTCTCAGGGACGAAAGCATGCCACGCCATCGACACTAAAACTGTTAGCATCCAAGGCCCAAATGGTAAGACTGTTTTCTTATACTTTGAGTTGGTTCTGATGGTTTGGTTACCAGATGTATTGATATTCCAGTATAATTAAATGAATACTATCTGATATCTTTTTACACTTAAAGACATAGGAGGCTTGAACCTTCCCATTTTCCCCCTTGTTGTCTTCGTACTTTTACAGTCCTGAAAACAAAGAGAGGTTACATGTTCTCATTGTTCCAGAATTGATAGCTGACATTTGCCTTGTCCTACGCGCTGTGATTGGCCCAAAATATTGTGGCTTATTTCTCGATCAAACAATTAGAAGTAAAACTAAAGCAATTCACAAATCGTTCCAATACATTTTCCCGCAATTGGACCCAGCCTTGTTTCCAGGGACTTTCCAATAAGCCATCATGAGAGGTATAAAAGTAATTCTAATAATGTTAAATTTCGACAATTATCTGTAACTTTTGTATCTTTGCTCCTTATGTAAATTCTTTATCATTTCTTGGGGCATACTACTATTTAACCGCAGAAGGGTGCAAAGGGATTGCTCAGGAACACATGACGCTTTTTACGTTGATTAAGTTCGTCTCTACTTTGTGTGATTTCGTAGGTGCTCATTGCGTGCAAAAAATCCAAAGGTGTGGCTGTGTGCGTGGCTGCTATCGAGCGTCATTCCGCCAAATTTACACTGCCACCGTATTTGACGCGCAGACGAATAGAAACAAAACGTTGGAAAAGGTGAGCTGAAGTTAAGACATGATAAGATCAGGATTTACTAATGTCTACTAACGGCACTTTGTTGAGTACACAGCCATGCATTGAATTGAGTAACTGCTTTTTTATAGGTGGTAGATATTGGACGTTGTGTTGGGAAATGTCCCAAAAGGAATAAGCAGCAATGCCTTCACTGGTAAGAATCTAACCCAAAAAGTTATTTAGTAAGATAACTTTCATTTGGACTCATCTAGGAAAGTTTGTTCTAATATAATGATGCCCGTTACTGTTATTTATAATGATGATGATGATGACGGTTACTATATATAGGAGACTAGAGAGATTCCCATCAGATCTTTTTCTAACTCAGCCAACTTGTTTTCAGGGTAAATAATCCTGAGTGGATCCCAGGCTCCGAGCTGCCACAAAAAGTCTGTATGCTGTCAAAACCAGGTGGAGAATCTGCACGAAAATGCCGCCCGAGGTCTTTCGCGCCACTAGTTTTGTTTGCCAAGGAGGGCGCTCCTAAAGTTATTAACACCATAAAACGCTGCAAATGTTATTGATCAAATCTTTTTGTATTTTGTAATAAGCAACAAATCGTACTGAACTAAAGCACTTACTATTTGTCTGACTGGCTTGGATTGATCAGCCGATGTAACTGATGCGACTCAAATCTGCTTTAATTCTTAATTTTCACTACTACCTTCTCAGATCAAGCTTAATAATACTTCATGAAGAAACAACGAACGAAATAAATATAGTTATATAGTAACGTTGGTTTGGAAATGTCATTTGACTAAGTTAAAATATTACGAACTTTTGGTTCAGAATTTCTCCTAGAATCTTTAAGCATTGGTTGAAATACCTTGTACACAGTCTCACCCACAAATCAATGTTTAAATACAGTATAATAGCATGTGAAACACTTCCTCACGTGTTTGGTATTTTGAACCAAGCCTAAGTGACAGAATGACGTGGTTTAACTCTTGGGCGTTCCTAACAGTTCGGTTGGAACCTATTTTTATGCCAGCAAAGCTAGACAAATGGTAAATGCTTAGTTCATTATCAGTCAGTGTATATTGTATATTGAGTCAAACGTGCACGTCACGATCAGTCTCCATGATCATCAGACGTTATTTTTACTGATATATCTCGTAAATTGAAAAAAAAAAAGACACTTTCTAGAGCCGTCAGATCAATTTGCAAAGAGTTACTGTACTTTCCTTACTAACCTCTTATTTCCTCACCTGCACTAAAGCAAATATTTTTTTAGTTGCACTTGCAATAAAGGCACTGAACTTGTAAAGCTGAATTTTCGTGGTGTTTCTGACACTCTTACTTATAATTAAACGGACTTAAGATTTAAAACAAACTAATCAAGTCTCCGTAATCTTGAGACGACAGGAAGTGGTCCCAGTATATATTTTAATTCTCTTTGTGACAGACATGAAATAACAACTATTATGTAGAACTATGACTATCATAGAGAAAAAACAAAGGGCAAAAAGACAGGGGGTTTTTCATGCCATTTCAAAAATCAAAACGTTTAAGGCGTTTTAACCGCTGCCCGTTATCATACGTAGTCGCTGTGTAGCACACTATATCATACGAGGATGATTTGTACACATAAAAAAGGACTCCTTCGTTTCCGCACCTGCCAAATCAGTCGCAGCTGACCAGCTTGGAAAGTGAAAAAAATCTTAGTCACCTTTACAATATCATAACTGCAGTCTTGCAGTCCAATATTTGAATTACTGAATTAGTGCATACAATTTAAATGGGATAGTTGAAGGGATAAATCAGTGTTGTCTCTGCCGTAAAGTGCAGTGCAGACACTGATTTGACACCTTAATTAAATCACTTAAAAGATTTTCCTTGTAGAGGAGGCCTGAAATCATGAAGGATTTCACCCAAAAAAAGATCACACCTTTTAATTACTCTTAAAGTTTGTAGATTAGTTGGAAAATGAAATCATTTATAGTTTTTTACAACACCTTCACCAAATACGTTTTTTGTGACATTTTCCTCTTAATCAAAGAAAGTTCACTTTCTTAGTGATACCACTGACATACAGTATTTACAAGAAAAAGTAAATTTCCTTTGCTTGTAACAAGTTATACAAAGTGACTACACTAAAAAACGAAATGAAATAGCTTTTCCATGTAATGGATATATTTACATTTTGAACAGCTGATATCTGTGATAGGTTCCTACTCGCACAGATAAACCTAGTAGCCATTCTATTTTTTATATATTTTCTTAGAATAGATAAATTTGAAGTGCCCTGTTTTCTGGTTTCATGGACTTAAAATAGTTTAAAGAAAAAGTGGTATTCCTGATACGAGTTTATTCCATAATCATCTCTTAACGGTCTAACTGAAATCATGCTTGCTAAAAAATAAAATGTTATCAGACCGACTGAGATAAGGGAACTCTAAGCACAACAAGAGGTATATTGATAAGCTCTGCAGGAAATACAGTATACAGTAAGTCGTTCACAGACATGTACACTCACTGACCGCCATATTGGACAGTTCATCAACCTTAGGCTGTCCGTCCTTGAAGTACAGTATTACCAATGGCTCATATTCCTTGGGTACACAGCAGGGGTCCCCAGGGGCGTTAGGGTTGATTCTGTTGTATAGCGCCATAATGGACGTATGATGGTTCTGTTTCTCGCTCCCCCACAGAAAAGGGCACCGCCCCGCGCAGTAGTTGGCATAGAAACCTTTGGGAGCGTGAATCCACTTCCATCGCAAATCCTTCTCGAAGTCGATGTACAGCGAGCGAAGGCAACAGCGAGACTCTCGTGGTCGCTTTTTACAGAATCGCCAGTTAAGCGAGCGCCTGTTTCTTCGTCGCCTTGTGGACTCCACTCGCTCGCGAGGAACGAACCATACAAGGATATTTGGCCACGGTTCTTCGAAATCATTCCCGACATTTTTATCCTCCGCTCCACCAAGGTAGATAGGAGAGACGTGAGAATTTTTGTCCACACTAGCTGTGCTTGTCACCGTCACAGTTAATCCGTGATCACTCGTTTTCGGATCGTACAGCCATTTTTGAACCACTGTTGTGACGTCTAAAGAAACCCACTTCTTTTCATTGGAGAGACTCCATTCTGAATCGAGGGCGTTGTAGCCGCCACATTGGGTGTGGTTGTTATGGGACTCACAAACCTCAATACGAACCCCATTATGAGGCTGTCGTTTGTTGGGCGTTTGGTAAACTCGGAGCTCTGCCAAAGACACTCGCGCACCATCTACTAATAATTTGCTAATGTTAAATCTCAGTTCGTAGACGTCGATTATTTCTTCGGAACCTGTTAAATTAATCACAAATACCAAATAAATGTATAATATTGACTGTTTTTGATAACAAAAACAATTCAGTACAAACAGGTGTTTATTAAAATTGCGCCCCTCTAGAATACAATTTGCTATAACATAACACCGTTTTAACGATCGGAATAAGAAATTAAGAAAATTCAACATGTCCTGAAGCTATGTTTGTAACAGCAAAAGCGATTCCTTGCCACTACGTTCCATGTTTTCACTGTCTTTAATAGTTAGCTCGAGCGACGAATCTAATTGGCAGCTTGCTTACAAAAAAATAGGTTAGTATGGTTTCCAAGCCCAATGATTTTTCAAGCTCATTTCAAGAGGTTTTCTCGTAACCTCTGGCTCATAATCTGTACAGGATCTTCTGTATTTTTGTTCCGAGTGAAATGAAGCGGATTATTCCATTAAAATACTTTCCATTTGCTTGCTCTCATTACTATTCAGGCCAGGAAAAATAGAGACCTGAAATTAAAATCATGCAGAAGTCTTCCTTATCGCTGTATTGTTGCTTT